GCGGCGACTACTTTTGAGGTGGACCGATATTTACGGGAACGGGATGAGGTGCTAACGGAACTTAAGGTACAGTTGCATCGGGCCCAACAAATCATGAAGACTCATGCGGATGGCAAGCGGAGAGATGTTTGTTTTCAAGCGGGTGACCGGGTTTACTTGAAATTGAGGCCGTACAGACAGATTTCGGTGGCTCATCGGGCTAATATGAAGTTGGCTCCACGGTTTTACGGACCCTTTGAAGTATTGGAACGGGTGGGAGCGGTTGCCTATAAATTAAAACTGCCGCCATCGTCGACCATACATCCGGTGTTCCATGTGTCRCAGTTGAAAGCGGCGATAGGAGACCAGCGGGTRGAAYTRGAGCTACCTGCAGGTCTAGATGAAGGTATGAAGATGGGTTGTCGGCCGGTGGATGTGCTCGGAACTCGTAAAGGTGATCAAGGCTTGGAAGTTCTRATTCAGTGGGAGGGCTTAACGCGTGRGGAATCCACATGGGAGCTGATGGATCAGATGGTAGAGTTGTTTCCTGCCTTTCACCTTGAGGACAAGGTGAATTTTCGGGGCGGGAGTRATGATACGTCTCAGGCCGACCCACACTGGGGTCGGATATATCAGCRTCGCAAAAGAGAAGCAGGAAACAAGTAGAGGGGGTTGTTTGCAATTTCCTTATTCTTAATTAATTGATTAGGAAARTTATTAATTAGTTTATTAGGATAAATATGTTTTCCTATTTTTTAGGATTAGGGTATATCTTTTAGGATTAGGGTACGGCTTTATTTAAGGGACCGGCCACCCCATTGTTGGCATTCATTCTAGTATTTTGATTCTTGTCGTAGACATTGGAGATTACTGGGTCTCGAATTCCARGGTTTATTTTAATAAGCATCCGATTAGTGGTACTTTTGGCCGCTAATCTTGATTTTGCCAATTGATTCATATCATATATTTAGATTATAAGAAATAGAAGAAAAGCATCAAAACCCAATGGAACTGCCAAATGCTAATAAAGCCTCCCTGGTGTAATATATCATTAAGATTCTAGTTCTCGAAAGATGAGTGTAGAAGAAATGTAAATCTTAGGTTCATTGTGTGGCCACACAATGAAGAATAAGATTAGAAAAAGAAGATACATGGGAGGAGTGCATAGAAGGATGCAGTGGAGAATCTAAAGCATCACCACATCAGATGGTTTTGGTCCTATCTGACATAGACCATTGAATGCTCAGAAATTTGAACTGTTGTAAGTGAGGAGAGGTTGAGGTTGGCCAAGATTCACATAGGTAAGTACAGCAGAGAGATTTGGGTGAGTGGATATACATTCTCAAATCTAAGAAGTTTGTGAAAGCCTTTTATTGCTCTTTGATGGAAGTTGGATGCTTGATGGTTTAATTACCTAATCAATTCCTTGATGAAGTTGGACTTAGACTTGTAGGAGTGCATAGAAGGATGCTTGATTCAACCAAGGATGAATGAAAAAGGAGAACTAGACTACCAGAGTGAGAAATTGGGGGTAAACACGAAATTTTAAGGATGTTCATTTTGCCATTACATGCTGGCTTCTATTTTCTGCAAAAATACCCTCACTTTTATCTTTTCTTGTATTATGATTGTTATTGTTAATTTGGGTGTAATGGGGGAGGGGGAGAATACTGGAGACTCTAGTGGTATCTTATGAAATCTTTATTGTCATTTGGCAGATGAAGCTGGGATTCAAATACCTGATCAGCAGTCTGTTGTGGGCCTGGTTGCCCAACCTTGTACCTCCGGCAAAAGGCATGGCAAAGTTTCAGCCGTTCCTATTTGGTTTATCATTCCAAGTCGTAACCTAATGTCTTTCTTTATGATTAATACTTACTACTTAGTAGTTACTTATGATACTGTTCATTGATGGATATATGTGCTCTAGCCTCATCATTCTGTTATTCGAAATAACTATTCTTATACAACAGTTCATCCAAATGTAAATCAAGCGGAACCACTTTTCCGTTGAAAAGTTCATTTGTTTTATCCTTTGGTGCTAACGTGTAGTAGTAGACAGACCAATTTGAGACGTGAGACTTCACATTTACTTTTAGTAGACAGACCAATTTGAGAATGGATCCATTAGCTACACCAGGCTAGATGAATATTTCAGCTAACTCATCTACAGCTATTGATTGGACCAACAGCCAAGATATGCCTATCTGACCTTCATATTAGAAGAAAGGCTTATGCTTTACTACAGGTCAGATAGGGTGAACTAATCTTGGTCATTGGATACAATTTTTAATGGCTATGAGGTCAGGTTGCTAAATGCGTCACAAAAATCTCAGGGTACTCCATATATAAGAACTTTTCTTTCTTGTGTAGTGCAGCACATAAATTATGCTGTATATATCTTTTGTTTACAGTAGTTTCGTTCATCTGCAGAGTGCTGATTGCATATCAGAATGGAGTGATAATATTATGGGATGTTTCTGAAGATAAGGCTGTACTTGTCAGAGCCCATAAAGATCTCCAACTGAAGGATGAAATAATTATTCGTTCTACAAGTGATGTCAAACGTGAAAGTCTCAGTTATAAATCGGAGGATGAGCAGGCAGAGAAGGAGATAAGTGCTCTCTGTTGGGTTTCTTCTGACGGGTCAATGCTTGCTGTTGGTTATGTAGATGGAGATATTCTGTTATGGAATTTATCAACTACAATCTCTACCAAAGATCAAAAAGCAAATAAATCATCTAATAATGCCATTAAGTTAAGATTTTCTTCAGGTGACAGAAGACTCCCAGTCATTGTTCTGCGTTGGTCTGCAAACAGTGCTCATAATGGTAATGGAGGTCAACTTTTTGTCTATGGAGGTGATGATATTGGATCGGAGGAAGTCCTAACGGTATCATTAAAAGCCTTCTTATCTTCCCTGTCAATTGTATTATTATTATTATACCCAGCCCAACCATACATGTTAACTTTCTTAATCATTGTCTTCGATGTGGTTTTTGTCTTTTAGTACATCTAGTATCATCTGACATTTGCTCAATGTTGAGCATCTTTAAACCAGCTTTATGCTCTTCTTTGTCTTTATTAGAGCTTATTTTGTCATATAGATATGCTTCTTATCTTTGGCATCTGTCATTTTTAATCCTCTGTTGCCCAAATTTTGTAATAGTGTTTCTTTATAAGGCGATGGCATTTTTCTCCGATAAAATATGGTGATGATGTTCGTGTACAACATCATTGGTATCCAATCATCATATAGAACTCCGATCTTCTTTCCACTTGCTCCAACCAACATATAGATTGTCAATAATGTTTTCACTTTTGAAACTTTCTATCTTAATTCATTTGATGTTATATATACATATATATATATATATAGAGAGAGAGAGAGAGAGAGAGAGAGAGAGGGAGGTTCAAGGGGAAACCCCAAAAAATGAAAAACTGAGGAACAACCTTGTAACTGTTAATCTGGACGGTATGCACAAGTAATTGAAGTTGTTTTTTGGTTTTTATGAGTGTGTGCATGTTACAAATTACTAGTATGCACATGTGCATAGCGTACATATGAACGATTACCAGAGTGTTCCTCAATTTTTCATTTTTTTGCTGTTTTCCCTACCTGATCCTATAAATATATGTATGCATTGTTTTTTGAATTTCCTGGATGCTAGATTTTTATTCAGAAACTATTTTTTATTCCTGTTTTTTTCATCAATATCGAGATAGAAAACCATATTTTGGATAAATGAAAACTAGTCTGCTAGTCTAACAAGTTTCCCAAGGAGTTTTCTTTGAATCCTTTGTAGCACTTAATCAGACTTCAATTAAGTTTAAACTTACACTGAACAGTTGGTGTAGCTTTAGATGAAAATAGAATTTCCCGTGATCCAAATATTAATGCTAGGAGTAGCTTTCCAAGCAAATGCAGAAAATTAGAATATGCAGTTACCTGTTTGATTCTATACAATCAACTGTTACCAAAGGTTGCATAAATTAATCATCTGCCTTTTGCAGATCTTGAATCTTGATTTGTCATCTGGACTAGAAGCTCTGAAGAGTATTAAGCGCTCAGACCTTACGCTTAATGGTCCTTATGCGGATATAGTATTGGTACCTGGTGTTGGTGCATCTGAGAGTAGTTATACTACACTTTTTGTGTTGACCAGCCCAGGACAATTGCATGTTTATGATGATGATTGCTTGTCTGGACTAATATCTGCTCCAGAGAAGCATGCTGTAAATGCAGTTCAGTGCTCTGTAACTTTACCAACGGTTGAACCATATATGACTATCACAAAGCTCTGTTCGATACAAAAAGATGGGAATTTACAAAGAGTTCTAAAGGAGGTTGTAAATACCTGCTAGCCTCAGCTTGCTTATCATAGTCTTTCTTTTATTGCATGTCAGTGCTAAGTTTCTCTCTATGTCCATTTTCATGTTTGAAGACAGTTTTGGCTGCAAAACATGAACTAGCATCTTCTACAACTACAGGGAGTGCACAGTGGCCTGTGAGTGGTGGCTTTCCCAGTCAACTATCCTCAGATGAAAATATTGGAGTTGAGAGAATATATATTGCAGGGTATCAAGATGGCTCCGTCCGAATATGGGAGGCCACATTTCCGGTTTTCTCACAAATTTTTGTTCTAACTTTCCAGGTTAGTGCTATGGGTGCAGTATTATAAAATCTATACAAACAAACTTCATTGAATTTTATAAATCATTCGTCTAAATGAATGGCAGCAACTTCATAATTGGAGCTTAACATATGTGCCCAGGTGGAAGGTACCGAAGTTCCTGGTGCAAGTGCACCAATATCATCCTTGGATTTTAACTCTACAACATCAAGCTTAGCTGTCGGCAATGATTGTGGTCTGGTACAAACCTTTTTGTTGAAATTACTTCTGATCCATGAAACTGCAACATTTCACTTGAGACTTAGTTTTATTTGACTACTTTCAAATATCTAAAACAAAACTAGTGGGCCCAAATTACTACAGTCATTTATTTGTAATGATGATGGGAAATAGGTAATCTTGACTTGGAAACTTACCTGAAAAGTAAATTGTTGCAAATTTTATGAGCTGAAGGAAGTATTAACTGTTTATAGATGATAGATGCCTGGTTATATGTAGTTTCCATTCGATAACTGTTTAGTATGTGTGGTATGTACAGGTTCATCTACTTAAGCTAGTTGGAGAATCTGAAGAAAAAAATGCATACCTTGTGACAGAAACCAAGCGTGAAGGTGCCTTTTTGTTACAGTTGCATTCATACTTCTGTTTGTATGTTACCTTTGCCTCAGTCTGAAGTTAATTACTGCTCTCAGAGGAACTCAAGCATGTCTGCATAATGACATAATTGAATATCATAACCGCAATTATCATACGGATGGAGACAAATTAAAGTGGCTGTGACCACATAGTTAACCGTTATTCTGCTACTCCTTTATTCCTAAACTAGAGCACATTTTTCTGAAATAATGAGAACTATTAAACAATTTTCTTCATTCCCAGCTTAACATATGGATGTTGAGAGTTTTACAGGTGTTGCTATAATGATACAGTGGTGAAGGCACATTTCTGGTTGTTTATGTGCTTCAAATTGTTCTATGTTTTCCTTAATCCTTATGGCACAAGTAATTCAATACTGGACTGGTACCAATTTTTAAGATCTTATGGTGAAAGGCATTTCTGGTGTGAGTTTTTGGGAATTTTAGATGCTTGTTTCATTCAGAAATTTCACATGGGGTAAACTTTTAGGAGATCCACATGGGGTTGGGATTGATTTTATGTAATGTGCTTCAAATTCCTTAATCCTTATGGCACTAGTGGTTCAATACTGGAATGGTACCAATTTTTAAGATCCTATGGTGAAAGGCTTTTCTGGTGTGAATTTTTGGGAATTTAAGATGCTTGTTTCATTCAGAACTTTCACATGGGGTAAACTTTTAGGAGATCCACATGGGGATGGGATTGATTTTATGTAATGTGCTGGAGTCTTGGGAATTTGAAAGTTGGTGAATGTTTATGCAAGGTGAATATTCTTGTCTTTATTTCTTTGTAAAGAAACTGTCACCTTTTGGTTGTAACGTGCATGTGGCATGATTTAGTGAATGGCCCATACAGTGAAGTCTAAGAAACCTAGGATTTCTCATTTGGGATGAGAAAGACTGTGCATAATGCTTATGAATAAACTGTGAACAAGGGCATTCTCGAAAAGCATGATTATTATTTTAAGAGCAACCAAGAATACATAGATCCCAAGGGTCAATGATGGGCAGACAGCCTGACACTTGATGAAACTTAAGTTACTAGCATAGACACAAAAACACTGAAGACGCAATTAACCCTTGCTCTTAACAGGCTGATCTTGGCAAGTGTGATGTCAGAGTACCCACTCTCTAATAGTCATGATAAATAGGAACAAACAAAAGCTAAAAATGTGCTGATCTATAGGGTGATTAAATTTTTGTCTGTGTTCAATGAGAAATCTGGTCTACTTGAGAGTGCAACAAGAACATAATAGCAACACCACTGAAAACTCTATTGCTGGAATTCCTTCTGAAGTTTTATTCATTCTTCTTTTATTTATTAATTGAGTAGACACTGCATATGCTTTACAGAAATTGATTTGCACCATGGGAATGGATGGCAATCAACAGCCGTATTTTCTCTTCTAGATTCTCCTGTGCGAAGTCTACAATATACATTTTCTGGATCTAGAATTGTTGTTGGACATGAATGTGGTAAGGTAAGCATCATAACGACGGTGTTTGAATTTTAAGTTGATTGGAAATTCAAAGCTTCGAAGCATCATTACTAACTCATTTTTGCATATTAGGTTGCCGTACTAGATGTTCAATCATCATCAGTAGTGTTTCTTACAGATCTTTTAGTCAGCTCTAGTTCTCCGGTCGTTTCTCTGGCCATGAAAACATATTCACAAACTGATACTGATGATTCTGAGCAATCTGGAAACACATCTCCAAGTGATCCACCAAAGGAAGTGGCTTTCATATTGACCAAAGACGCACAAATCATCCTTGTGGATAGTAGTAGTGGTAAAAAAATCTGCTCCCAGTCAGTAAATCCGAAGGAGTCAGCTGCAATCTCTTTATACATTTTAGGCAAGTTGCAATTGTTACACTAAGAAATGTTATTAGGTAATTTATTTATGTTTATCTTTGAACATTCTTGTTGTTTCTAAGGGAACCTGTTTGCTTGCAGAGGAAAAGTTTTCTGTCCCAGAATTGTCGGTACAGAATACTGTGAACTCATCCCAGGACTCCACAGATGGAAAGGAGTCTTTACAGTCCCACACTGAGCCAGACAGTGATTCAACTGAAGTAAATATCTCGAGTGAAGGCATTGAATTGTGGAAGAATTTTGTTGACTCGCTGATCTTAGTTTGTTGTGAGGATTCAATGCTTTTATACTCAACCAAGTCTCTAATTCAGGTGCACACTTGGTTTTACGTCATCTTCAGGTTCATCTTTGTTGCTGCATTATATTAATATATAGCCTATCAGGGGGAGCCAGACTTCATCTGCAAAGTTGATTTAGAGAAACAATGTTGCTGGACTACTATCTTCAAGAAAAATGAACTGGAATCAGGAGTGGTTTTAGTATATTCGACTGGGGTTGTTGAGATCAGGTCAAGTATTTATTCCTTCAAAAACTTTTGTATAAGGAGCATATTATGTGGTTTTAACCTATCAGTTGGTCGATTTATCCGACCTCGGGCTATTGCGCGTCTTTACAATTGTTCCTACTTAATGGATTGGTACTTCATCCTATATAAGACATAAGTGCTGCTTTACCTGATTAGCCTGACTCGTATTCAGTGCCATTACTCAAATGATTCTATCCCACATTTCTGTAGTACGCCTGTACCCTTATAGGCGTGACCACATTAGCACTCCATCCCTGTTGATAAAGTACCTAAAGGCCCATTATTAGGGGAAGTAAATACGAAGAATGACAGTAGCGTAGGAAAGATAATTAACGAGGTTATGTGAGAGATATGAGATACTATTTGACAATGTGATATTATACAACTGAATAGGCATCTATCCTGTTTACATATTTTTTCGCAGTTATAACAGTTTGTCATGTAAACATACGGTGCATCTTTTGATAGGTTGTACAGAAGCCTGTTGCTGAGTCATGAACTTATCTTGTTGCAGGTCCTTGCCAGACCTTAAAGTGCTGGCAGAAACTTCTATAATGTCCATTCTTAGATGGAACTTCATGACTAACATGGAGAACACAATGAGTTCTTCTGGTAATGGGCATATAACAATGGTTAGCTTTTTCCTCTCTCCGTCATCTAATTGCTATCATCTGTGTTTGATATTCTTCTTTAATTGTCTCCACTACTTTTGGTCGAAGAGAAACTAAAGGCTTTGTTGCGACTGAGTACTCTTGGCACAAGAGAATGGAATCTGTCCATTTGCCTCTTACGCTCTCCATCATAAGAAAGTTGTAACAGCTAAACCTACAAGCATGCTAATAGAAGTGTTTGACTATTTGCCAATGTCTAGCTTATCTTCAATCATGATGAAATAGGGGTGGTCTTGGTTTTCAAAATCTTGTGGACCATATTAAATTCAATACTACAAATAATGGTAATGATGACAAAGGGGAAACTAGATAGTTAGTTTAGAAGCTGGCCCAAGATGGCTTTAATTATAATGAGACATCCCAAAGTGGCAATTGTTGCGATTTTCATAGAAGGGAGTATGATATCAGTTTACAAGTATTGAGAGTATCCACTTAGATTTATATGCAAGGCTTCATTCTTGTGGTGATCTTTTTCTTATTCCTTGATCTTTACATTTGGATCCATAGGAGGGGGGGGGGGGGGGGTTACTCCCTCCGTCCCCGAAAAAGTGTCGACATTTCCATTTTAATTTGTACCGTAATAAGTGTTCTAAGTGTATACATTCCAATCTATCCTTAATTACGGTAAACTTGTTATTTAGTTATTTAAAAAGTGAAATGATTACACATTTCTATAACTGTGTGCCTTTTTTGTTGTGAACATTTATTTTGGGACGGAGTGAGTAACATTTAAATCCTGTGCCTTATGCATAGATGGAGGCTTTATCACCAAGCTACCGAATTGCAATTGTGTGCTACTAGGCTTGTCATGAGAGCCAACCTAGCACAGGCCTTAAAAACTCAAAATCTAAAATATTTAACTAATGCAGAATCTTGAAAAAGAATATATATATCTTTTAAACATTTAATCAAGTCTGAGCTCTTTTTGAGTGTAGTTATTGTGGTTAGAGTACATGGGCGTGTTGGATGGAACAGGCTGATGAAGTGAATAATTGTTGTCTGATTTCAGCCCAAGGGTCATATAATCAGGTTAAACAGGCTGAAATAGTGCTTAACAATGTAGTGATTCACCCAGAATTGGGTCAAAGTATATATGTTGATGGGCGTTTTGCATGCTCCTTGAATACTTAGCGTTGTTAAGTTTCTTTATTAACTTTCTTTAATTTCAACATCTTGGCAATCAGCATGATGAAAATAGAGGTCTTCATGACTATATTTTTATGCAATATCAAATTTTCTTGATACAGCTTGTAATTGTACTTCAATTTTTTTAATTTTGGTTATTTGATCTATTAGGTGTATGGGCGTGAACTTGCTATTATATCTCTTTTCACCTCTGAAAATGACTTCAGGTCTGTCTGTCTGTCTCTCTCTCTCTTTCTCTCTTACACACATGCTCATGTATGTGCACAATCACGACTCCCCTTCTCTGCCATACAACCTACTGATTCATCGCTTTTGGCATCATTTAGGATCCCAGAGGCTCTACCTCGTCTTCATGATAAAGATGTTGCGGAAGCTGCAGAGGCTGCTCTTAAATTCTCTCTTAGCCAGAAGAACAAACAGGTTGATTTCTAGATTGTTCTTTCGCTTCCTAGAACTCCTGAATTCATTCGCATTTTGTTGCTACAGACTGCACCAACAGGACTACTTGGTGGTATCATCAAGGGCATAAAGCGAGAAAAAGAAAATGAGAATGTGAATATTGAAGAAACTCGAGACGTTCTTGTTCCTAAGCTAGAAGCCTTGTTTTCTAGGGCACCTTTTTCAGTTTCAGATTTAGATTTGGGAGATGACTTTGATGAACCAATCAAATCAGGTTCTACATTGAGAGAGAACTTTGATGAGCCAATCAAATTAGGTTCCACATTTTTCTTTCTCTTCTTTTCCTCCATCATTTCATGCCTTTTCTTTATTCCTTTTTGAATATTTTAACTTTCTGTTCAGTTGTAGAGAGAATCGAGGTCGAACCGAAGTCCCCTACACTATCTCCTCAGACTCAGAGCCAGACTGAGACAAGTATACTAAACCTTTGAATTCTTTTGCAGAACATAATTTGGCTTTGGCATACACTAACCATTTCTGTTGTGTCATATAGACAAGCAAACAGAGAGGGATAGATTACTTGAAGGTGGCTCTGCCATAACAGAACCAAAAGCTAGGACAGCAGAGGAAATCAAGGCGAAATATCGAAAGACTGCGACTGGGGTAACTTCCCTTAGAAAGTACAATAGTACTCAAGAATAATGGTTCTTTTTATTCTGTAACCCTGTTGAATGTTTTGGATCATTTAGGATACAGCAGCCATGGCACTAGAAGCAAAAGACAAGCTTCTCGAACGCCAAATGAAACTTGAGGTATTTGGACCCCCCTCCCAAAAAGCAAAGATTTAGCCATCATATATCTATATTACTTTTGCATTCCTTTATAATCCTATCTGCGGGTGGGATATACTGGTTTTGTTTGGTTGGGTTTGATAATCCTATCTTAAAAAAACTTTCCCCTTAATCTTTGGCTTTCATTTGTGCTTTCTATTTGTGTTACTTACCGTTTCCACAAGCTGGGGTCTTATCAGTAACAGCACCTGCCTATATCCTACCCTCCCAAAAAGCAAAGATTTAGCCATCATTTATCTATATTACTTTT